AACGAGAAGAATGTCCATCCCTTAAAGAAATCTAATATTGCCAACAGAATTTCATCCCCAGAGATAATTGTACTCTCCAACTTCTTGAAGGAAAAACTTTGACAAATTGTCATATTTTAAATGTTAATTTAGAAGAATCAGTATTCGAACAAATCGCAGTCGATGAAGTCTTAATAATCCCGTCAAAACCTGAACAAATTCTTTCAAAATGTAACAGTAACCAGTATATAGGCATAAGGTCACCTGTATTAATCAAAATACCAAAATCTTTGAAATTTGGACCAATGAAAGAAGATATATCAACAACATTCAACTGAGCAGAGGAAAGCCTTTCATTCTACCGAAGATCGACATGAAGAAAATTTCAAAACTTCAAAATCTTATCAAAATTCTAATACCTATACTAAATTAGATTTTAATGATTTATATGAAATTAATAAAATTTCTAAACAATTAAAGCCAATTAAAGAAATTCAAAGTAATTTTAATTATTCAAGCACTTTTGGAACAATTTTTGTAATTTTTCTTTGCATAATTATTTTAATACTAATTAAATACAGAAGACTTTTAGGAATATATAGAAGAAAGAAAACGAAGAAACTGAATTAGAAAATTCCACAGAAGGTGTTTTGAAAAATACCTTCATATTTTTTAAAACTTAAGCAGGTCGGAGTTATATATTGTGAACATAATAGACATAAATAGGAGTCAAACATTATTATTATTGTTATTTGAGGTAGCTTTAGTGTAGGCCGTAGGCTTTAGTCCAGAGTTGTCTTAAATATCCATTTAAGTGTATTTTTGCTTAATAAAAAATAAAATAAAATTTCCGTTTTGGAATTTATAACTAGCACGTGCCGCACCTTCATCAGCTTGGAAGGCGACCTTTGTTGTTACAAAAATAAGCATCACACTTAATTTCAGCTTTGCGAATATAATTTTTTTTTTCATTGTTTTTTGCTATTTAGGTGGGTGGAAGACGTACTTTGTCGTGAAATTCAGGTGAAAGTCGATATTTTCTAAACTTTATTTGTTTAAATTAACGTTTCATGCATGCGAAAATGATTTTTGAAGTAAAAACTTCTTTAGCGGCGTGGAACACTTTTGTGGGATGGGTAAAAACTGTGAAACTCGCGTCAGGACACGTATGCTGATCGGTTGGAGAGTAGTGTTGTAACATCGAAATCGATTAATCGAACAATCGATTGTTTTCTTTCGATTGTCGATATTTTTTAAATTGGAATAAATTGGAATAAATTGGAATAAATTGGAATAAATTGGAATAAATTGGAATAAATTGGAATAAATTGGAATAAATTGGAATAAATTGGAATAAATTGGAATAAATTGGAATAAATTGGAATAAATTGGAATAAATTGGAATAAATTGGAATAAATTGGAATAAATTGGAATAAATTGGAATAAATTGGAATAAATTGGAATAAATTGGAATAAATTGGAATAAATTGGAATAAATTGGAATAAATTGGAATAAATTGGAATAAATTGGAATAAATTGGAATAAATTGGAATAAATTGGAATAAATTGGAATAAATTGGAATAAATTGGAATAAATTGGAATAAATTGGAATAAATTGGAATAAATTGGAATAAATTGGAATAAATTGGAATAAATTGGAATAAATTGGAATAAATTGGAATAAATTGGAATAAATTGGAATAAATTGGAATAAATTGGAATAAATTGGAATAAATTGGAATAAATTGGAATAAATTGGAATAAATTGGAATAAATTGGAATAAATTGGAATAAATTGGAATAAATTGGAATAAATTGGAATAAATTGGAATAAATTGGAATAAATTGGAATAAATTGGAATAAATTGGAATAAATTGGAATAAATTGGAATAAATTGGAATAAATTGGAATAAATTGGAATAAATTGGAATAAATTGGAATAAATTGGAATAAATTGGAATAAATTGGAATAAATTGGAATAAATTGGAATAAATTGGAATAATTTGGAATAAATTGGAATAAATTGGAATAATAATAGGCATTCGTTCAAAATTATTCCCTAACTATTCCAAAAAATCAAAAATGCACAACGTTAATATTCAAGTTTTCACTTCTGCCGGCACTCCCGGAGTGCAACCCGTGTTTTTTATTTTTTACTGTAATTGCAACCCTCCTGCAACCCCCTGTCGTAAGGGTGCGTCGGAAGACGTTCATATTAGAGTTACATATTACTTGCATAACTCGTATAAAAAAACATTAAACTGGCGAAAATGACCCGGAAATTTCTGTCGTTTAAGCCAATGCAAATACCCTTTAGCGGTAGTAACAATTTCAGCATCTCATGTTTCTTTATTATTCCAAACGTCTTGAAAAATGTGTATCAAAAAATCACGGTATTAAAACACTGTTTGCACTAAACGTCCATTGTAGTTCCATCGCGTCGGAGCAACTTTTGGAAACATTTTTTGAACGTGAATGTCTAAAGCGCGAGTTCTTTTCGATGACTTTGAAAAAAAGGAAGCCAAACCACTAAGTGTCGAAAAGAAAACATTGCAATCTCTAATATTATCCATGCTTCGCGATAAAACCAAATTAAGTCTATGTGCTATAATACAGTGGACGAAAATTGCATGTATAAATTTCTCTTTCACTTTAGCTTGAAGGTCTCCTAAATGGCCAGCCATTACGGCAGCACCATCGTAGCTCTGGGCAACAAGCTTAGAACCACATTTTAAACTTGAATTAATGTCACAAACAATTTTAAACAATATATCTGCAGTTCGTTCGCTAGTGACGTCCAAAAATCCTAAGAATCGCTCTTGAGGAATGTTATCCAATACATATCGCACAACAATGGATAATTGACTTAAGTTTGCTACATCTGTGGTTTCATCAAGCGCAATTGATACGGAAGTTGCTTTTTTAATTTCACTTTTAATGTGATCCATCACAACGTCGGCAATGCATTTAATTAAATCATTTTGGATTCTGTTTGAGGTACCTCGGAAAGTTGTCGAATCAATAAAATTATTTTTTAGGGTTTCATCGTATTTTGCTAAAAAACTTAGAAGGTCTATGTAATTTCCTCGATTGGCGGATCCACTTGCTTCATTATGACCCCTAAAACTTAGTTCATGCTCTCCTAAGAAACACGTTACAACTATTAATCGTTGTAAGACGTCCCTATTTTTTTTACCCTTTCATTGTGAATTTTGTTGCTTATTTTTAAATGATTGTCCAAACTATGTTCAATGCGATAGGTCCCAAATGTTTTTTTCTTTAATTGTGGCACTTATATGAGATTTGCCATTTACCTGTCGTTTTACACTTTTGTGAAAATTATTCAAGTCTGTAATACCGACTGAGTTCCAATGTGTTTTTTCGGCTATATTAAAAAGTAGGCAAGGCCAGCAAACAATTTCTTCAAAGTTTTGCAGCCGGTTAACCATTCATACTTTTCATAGAACCCTACGTGAAAATGCCTGGTAAATTTCTTTGCTGACTTTTCTACTTTCATCTCTAAATTGATAGGATCCTTTAGTCTACTAGAATTAATAATGACCGTTTTCTCTTCAAAATTTCTACTTGAAAATCCTTTTTTTAATAAAGAGCACACAATACAGACACAATTTACCACATTATTATTGTTCACAGGCACAGTGCATAGTTCCTCCATTTTACAAAAAGAAAAACAACTACGAAAAACAAACGGAAATCAATCTGAAGTCTACGATTTTCCTCACATGTCGATTCGCGGTGCGAATTGCAATATGCATAAGGCGACGTAAAAATCGCTGCCTCTCGACCGTATTTCACGTGTCCAAATAGACTGACTACTGTCGCGGCAAAGCAAGGTCAATAACACGAAGCGAAATCAATTGGAAGATGAGCCGGATTTTTCAAGACGCGCTTCTGCCGACGGACTCGAAGAATATGGTGTGTGCGTTTACCCAATTAATTTTCTAATGGGTGGTGCGTGCGTTTACACATTACACCAATGAATTGTTAGTACATTTACGAAGTTTACGTAATATTTCTGAGAAAATATAGTACCTAATTTAATATTAATTTCTATGCATTGTAAACAGAAAAATATTTATTTTTAAATCTCAAAGTGTAGGGAAGCGGTGCTACCCCCGCTTCCATGGACCACACACCCCTGCAATATGATAAGCTAATAACATACATACAGGGTGTCTCATCAGTGCATAATTGATCGATAGCTGTTTTATTATTAGAAATACGAAGAAATTATTGATATAAAAGTTGTATGACCATGTTTAATAAATATTCTTAAATATACAGCTGGATCCATAAACGAGGTGCTGGCCAAACTTATACATTTTTATATTTGATTGTTTTTACATCGTTAAACAATTTTAATAGACTTCATTTATTTGTTCTATACATATAGAGAGTTTTAAAATGAGAGGTAACGATTTTGTCACTGATAAAGCGAGGACATTTCAAATATTAAATTAAACTTTGATTTATATAGAACCCTGTATAATTGAAATTATTTTTAAACTGTCTTCTCTGATATACATCTCGTTTTGAAAAAAGATTTTAAAAAATCAAATAGTTTTGGCTCTACAGACCGAGGCGTTACCGATGGCCCACCCTATATATCATCAATTCGATGAGTATTTATTTATTTAATATTCTATTTGGTACATGACAAAATTGGTGAAATAGCCTATATACCTATACGGTTTTGTTTGACCAAACGGACACATTCAATTTCTTGTAATTTCTTGTATCTACACAGGAACTTAAAGAAATAAAATCAATCATTCTTGACAATATCGTTATATCAACCTGATTGCTGCTGGACACATAAACTGCTGTATAAATGAACCGGTCAATATAGGAATCACATTCTACCAGCATCTTGGTTATTTTAAGATATTTTTATATTAACAGACACTAGACAGCGGGAAATCTTTAGAATATCAAATTAGATTCTTTGCTCTGGGCATGACTAGAAAAAAAAGGCGAATAAAAAATAATCATCAGCTTTTATGAATGATTTTATCATTCAATTGGTGATTAATTAATTTATCGAACTATTTTCAATTAACGAAATGTGATAAAGTTGTTGGTTATACCGTGCCGAAGCTATTAGAGTTCTAGTAATGGTTTCATTGTAGTTATGGAAAATGTTATTTATAAGAGGTAGGTGGTGTTTATCCATTTTTTTTAATGATAATACTATGCTTAATATATGCTTAATGTCAATGCGGTATAATACAAATCAAAACACTTTATTTTTAAATTTTACATGAGTTGATTTATTAACAATTAAAAAACACGACAGATCAAGTTAATTTATCTGTAACATAAAAAAATAACAGGCTCAAAATCTGAACTAAAATGTATTTAGTGAGACAATTCCACGAATAAAATAGTGTTTTAAGTCGAACTATATTCTAAACAATGTATCATTATCCTTGTCATTCTTCAAAATAGTTCTTTTCATGTCGCTCCATTTAAAATATGGTAAATTGTGGTATCAAATTGGGGATATATTAATTATTTAGAACAGTTTATTATTATAATTTATTTACATTAAATACTAATTAATTTATTTTTACTTTTTACTTAAATATTTATCAGCACTATTCACCCTTATCAATTTAATTTATATGACAATTCGAATGTCTTCAACTATGTTTCGACTTTGACTGACTACACCTCCTCTTCAACACAGCCAATTTATATATAAATTGGTGTATGCTCCAGATTATTCTCAGGTCCATCATTTATTAGACTGGTGTCTCCGGCAATTTCTCGAATGTGCATTTAACAAATTCGTCATTGTTCTAGTGTATTCTATGTATGATTCATTACAATTGAATCACATATTGTTAAAAGGAACTAAGTCACATTTTTACGTTTTCGACTTTAAAACATGAAACGAAACTTTGAAGATATTCCTTTCGTTTCTTGAAGAAGGTACCGATAACTACGGCTAAAATATAGTTAGACGGTTCCTTCTTACATCAAACGAAAGGAATATCTTCAAAGTTTCGTTTCATGTTTTAAAGTCAAAAATGTAAAAATGTGACTTAGTTCCTTTTAACAATAAGCGATTCAATTACCCATAAACGTAGCTCCGGGATAACTTATTTCTATAAATATTTTAACAATCGAACGACAAGTTGGGCCCTAAAAGCACAAACAAGGTAGAGAGGGACTTCAAAGAGAACAAGACCAGACTGGTCGAAAATGGCTCGCATTATACATCTTTGGCAATACAATTTTCGATTTCACTCATCTCCTTCGTAGACAGTTTCAAATCGTCAGATTGCTAAACTATTTATTACTTAACTATAAATAATAGTTTGTGCAGCATGAAGTTGAAGACAGAGTGTAAGACGGTCAATCCACTTCAGTTGTATAGTATATTTCTTCTACGACCCACTAAAGAAAAACTGCAAATATTTAAAAATTACTTTAAAAGTTTTTGAGATCATTATTAACACAAAGATTTGAATTTATGATTTTTACTAAATTATAAAAAAATAACCTTGATAAAAATATTTGGTCTAGTGAAAGTGGTACTTGCGCAATAGTGTTCCGTACCTTAGTTGCTTTAAACTAAGTAGTGTTGATAATTACGTTGTCATAGATTTGGACCAGGCGCCGATGGCACTGCCACTAAATAGCGCAGGACAATATAATGTTGGATGAAAATAGCGTAAGAAAAAATAGCGCAGGACAAAATACCTCTGGTAAAATAGGAAAAGAATAAATAACGAGACGACAAAAACACGTAGATAAAATAGCGACTGGAAAAAACGTTGGACACATTAGCACTAAATAGCGACAAACACCGCTTTATTTATTACATATTAACATTATTAAATAAAAAAAAACTTTACTAATTTACCTAACCTGTGCCATCCCGGGGCCACACAGGTTAGGCAAATTAGTTAAGTTTTTTAATTATTTTTCTTTTTTTATGTATAAGCAATCGGCGATGGCACAGGTTAATCATAAAATGGGAAAAATTAAAAAAACAACAATTTACCTAACCTCTGCTGTCTGGAGCGATAATTGTTTCTGGGATATATTAACCCAGCGCTTTTTTAAATCTTCGCCATTTTATCACCACGCTCTTACACCCTAATGCCATTTATCGGTGCTATTTTATCTGGACCCCTATTCAGTAACTGCGAGAGTAGTCTACACAGAGTAGTCTACACGAAGTACTTCAGTACTTCCTCACAATTTGACCTTACTACGTATACTAAAATTATAAATCGGTATTCACGAAAAGTATGAGTCATGTGATCAGTAATGCCACTTCTACCAATTTGGCAATCCTTCTAACGACAAAAGACCTTATTTTCTACCAATTTTTATTCTTTAGTATATTTTAGTATAAGTTTATCACAATTTCTCCATACCAAACAATATTTAGGATCAAATCGGAACAGTTTGTAAAAAACGAATGGCCATAATTAAAAATCTTTGCGATCACAGTAAGTACATATTTTTTAATCTAAATACTGTTTTATTAGTTTTTAATATATTTAATTTTTTTCTTTATTTTTTAGTTTATTTTTTAAGTAAGTTATATTCTTTTGTTTTTTTTTTTTTAATCTTTAGGTAGATATTTATCTTATGACGATTTAATTCATAATACGTGACCCACATAAGGGGGTTGGACTAATTTTAGCAACTAAAATGCAATAAAACGGAACAAGCTATAAAATGCTCTGTGATCTCGAGTAGAGTCCCGAAGGTGGTTGAGTAGAGTCCGATCATTATCTCAGGTACCTGAATTATTTTATTTTTTTTTAGTTTATTTTTTAGGGAACATGGTAATAAAGTAAACCAGATTGATAAAAAAATGTATTTATTAATCATTCACAGTGCTATAAATATTTTTAAACCTAAAATAAGGGTGATTTATTTAATATTTACATAAACTACAAAATTAGGTTTTCTACATTTTAAATCGATTTTCAACTACCTTAATAAATTCCAAGTTTGTTATATCATGATTTTTTAATTGCCATATCTTGTCATCTAAAAATTGTTTGTTTTCTATAGTTTTTGCAGAGTATATTTTCTTTTCATTTTGTTGCGCTGTCCTTATCTTTATGTAGGTATCACTTTGAAAATCTATTAAAACCGAAATAAATTGAAAAATATGAGGATGTGCATGGTAAAATGCAGAATTAAATCGTGAATGAAAACTTTCGCAGGCATTTGTAGTTCTCTTAATACTACTTGTATTTTCAGCCCATATGTATGATGGAAATTTGGACGATTATGTTATGTAAGTATCTACAAGATAATCTGCGAATGATGTAAGTTTGGAATTGCTGGTTTGAGAAGAAATTAAATCAATAGCAAAACAGTCTCCAACATCTATTGAATTAAGAAACGGCAAACCAAAACAGTTTCTCAAAAATTTTCCAACTTCTGAATCCTCATCCTTGTATGCAGTAGTAAGGCCAAGTTGTTGTATTTTTCGCCACCTAAAAAGTGCATGTTGCATTTAGTAAACTGACAGCATTGAAATATATATATTTTTTTAAAGAAAAATTACGTCTATAAGTTTTGGACAATCAAATTTTATTAAACTTTTTTCCTAATAATATTTTAAATCTCTAATACTTAATTATATGGACATTCTATTTTTAAAATTTAATTTCCTTAAAATCAATAAGTATTAGAGATACAAAACCTAGCAAAACATTATTGAACTAACCCTAGACATTAAAATATTTATCAATAACTTACCATAATTGGCCCAAATGAAATCTACATCCAACAATACTTGTTTTCGCCCAAGTTTCTAGCACACTTTGGTGGATTGCCTCTTCAAAATCTGCCACTACAGTCGTTGGTCCCAATATTTTACCAATCTTTTGACATTCTTCTATTGCATACATTAATGCCAACATATAACTTTTCTTTTGCTTATTTGGAAGTATGAAAAAGACTAGAGGTACATAATGGTCACCTGCTAATCCGTGAATGGAGAACATTTGAAGGAAAAATTTGGTGCAGCAATTGAATGTCCCATCCACATATATGGATTTCAAAGTGCACAAGAACTCTAAATTCTTTTTTGATGAGGACATAATTATATTGTTTTCTGTGTCGTTTACCAGAAGAAAAGTTTCGCCCCGAAGAATTTTTTCATCAAGTGGTGGGTGGTTATGGTTGTCGACAACTTCTATTATGTTTGTTTTTCCCTCTGTCTTCAAATAGGCCGTACACTTTTTATTTCCACTTACAGAACACACCCAACGTTTAATACCACCAGATAGTTCTTTGTGAAAACGATATTTATATCTATCTAACACTAGAAGCTCCTTTCCTCTCTCGCTAAGTATAAACTTTAATGCACTCATGATTTAATCTTGTCGGTTAGTAAACTAAACTAAAACTGTAATAAATAAAAGATCTAATTGAATATTTTTATTTTATGCATGTTTTTGGGCATGTAGAAAGGGAACAATCAACTTGTAATTGTCATGATCATAAACAATTAATAAATAGTTATTGAAATATTAATAATGGATAATACTAAATATTCAAATTCAAAATATAAGTAGTTAATCCTTTAATGACTTAATCTTACCCTGGACTCTACTCAACCATCTAAATTTTGGACTGTCATTATAGCAGGTATAAACGGGACTCTACTCCGGTCTGCCCAAAATGCTGTTACCAGCCCTTAATAGCATCTCGAAACACTGAAGAATTCTTTTATTTTTTATTTTTAACAATCGACTATTATTCGCCCAAAAAACAATATTTTTAGCACGTTTTACTAAGAAATTTTTAACTTTAAGGCCAAGTTCAATGACAAGTGACGGCGACTTTTTTATCACAAGAAATACAGCTCTGAACGATAATATTTTCAAAAACTGTTTTCATAAATGGGTTAAGAAAACTGTAAAAAATGATGGAAAGTCTATGGTTTGTTTTACTTTTAATGCAAAATATTTTAATAAGTGATATTTAACAAATATTTAAAAGTTATGGACTTTCCATCATTTTTTATAGTATTTAAAAGTTAAAACGCAACATACATTCTTTTATTTTCGCCTAATTATTTCAGGATTCTTGTGATAAGATTTAAAAATGTAGGGCCCATAAGATGCTGCCATCTGAACAGACGGAATAGACACTAAAAATTGAAAAATTGCAACA